CCCCCCCCCCCCCACCCTCCCCCGAAACCCTTTTTTCTCGGCGGTGTGAAAAGCGTCTGGGAAACGCATCTGCCATCAGAGGATACAAACTGAGGAAATAGTACAGTACAGTTGGTAAAAGCAAAGCAACACCCCTTCTAAACAATATTAGCTTCACTCACCGTGTAGACGTCTTTAGCGTTAGTCGTTTTTTCTACGAACGCAGAAGGGAAAATTGGACAATGGGGATGTGGCATTAGAGCCCCTTTTACCATGCCTCAGTTCGTTGAGGTTTTTTTTGAACGAAATGAACGGATACCCAACGGGCTACACAACCGGTCAGTTTAGAACACGGACTGCGGACTGGGTATAAAATATGGACTAGGTATAAGACGTGGACTGTGGACTGCGGACTGGGTATAAAATACGGACTACGGACTACGTTGGTAAAAACGGTGCTTATTGGTTCTAGGTAAGGTAAATTGAGATCAATAGATCGCTAAATAGCAAGACACGTGAGTTTAAGTTATAACAAGAACGCGTTAAAAGCGTTTATGTCTCCCTTGCTTGCCGGAGATAGATAAGAAGTGAGGAAGCGATTTATTCTACATGAAACAGGATTTCCTTACTAAAAGTTTTTCACTTCCTTGACGATGATTGAGTTGTGAATAAATAAACGAAAATCGGGAGAAATTACATCGCAGGACATGAGCTTACTGGCAATGAGTAGTAAGAACATGTCAGACATGAGCTTACTAGCAATGAGTAGTAAGAAGAGGGCAATGACGGGTACCTTTGGTGCGAAGCATAAACTTTTAACGCCGTGTGCTACGAGGACGATTATTTTCCAAAGAGAAAATTTAAATTTTTTAATAGTTTTTTATCACTCAGTGTACCTTGTTTTTTCAAAACGTTTGTCCTTTCCGTTGCCAATATGTTTGCCGTGTATTATCTGTGGTAAACGTATGTAACGAAGCATCGCGACAAGTGACAACGGACCGAAAAACCACGTGCTTGCAAAACAAAATTGTTCTTCTAGGCAGTCACGTTGTGTAGTGACTGCTAAATTGCCCGTGCACTGTAGCACGTAAGGTTGGTACGGCGGCCACAGGAAGAGTTAAAACCTCTACAGAAATTCTCGAATTGAGTTTGGCCAGATTAATTTCTTTGCTATTTCTGTAGATTCGTAATTGCTTTATGTGTCGATTGAGTTGTACTGGTAATAAATATTTTTTAATCGTTTGTGGTACAGTCAAACCTCTTTAATACGGACACCAAAGGGACAGAACCGATCGTCTGCTTTACAGAGGTGTCCGTATTATAAACGTAGGTGGGGAATGTATGATTTTTGGCATTTCTGGAACCAAACGAACTGTCCGTTATCGAGAGGTGCCCGTATTATAGAGGTGTCCGTAAGGAGAGGTTAGACTGTATAAACATTGAAAGTCACAATGTGGGAAAATGCAAACACGAATCTGTCGTTTTTACCCCCACCTCCATGTAAACAAGCCCATAATTAAAATGTCACAAATGCGCATCAATTCAAAACATTTCATTTTTATTACATTATTATTTTTTACAGAAAATACAATAGTCCCAGAACGGGGCAATCCTCACCAACACAAACTAAAATAACGGAGCATATTAAAATATCCCTAAGAACGATCAGTATCAAATTCCTCCTCGTCATAACAACGCTATAAAACAAAAGCTATAAAACAAAGAATAGGATATAGCAGGTATCGACCACAGACCCTTGAATGTTACGCTTTACCTCACGTACGGGAACAATAGAACATGCGCTTCATTTCAATCATCACCGAAAATAAACCGCATGCTTACCACGAGACTCATTTGCATACAATGAAAGTCGTGACGATTCTTATCCCCAGTTTCCACGGTCTCCGCTAGGAACGCCTGGGAATATGGCCTACCATTTGGGGAAGACACACTAAGAAAAAAAGAAACGCCTGCATTTTTAGAGTCTCGCTCTGCCACAGCAAGCTCGACTAAATACTCCTAGAAACTCTTGGTGGAGGTGTGCTGCCTAGTTCCCTGAATCTTGAGCCGCACCAAAATGCTATTTTCAACAACCATTTTTAGACCTGGTCTCGGTCTCTAGCAATAATGACTGAAAGGGGTAGTAACAAACGCGGCCGGTGAACATTTTTACATTGGTCAGGAGCAGTGTGTAAATCATGTCATCATAATCATCGCTTAGATGGGATGATTTATTTCGGTTATTATTCACGTATAGGTGAGTAATCCCTCCCCCCTAAATACTGATTTCGATTTCTTCAGTTTGTTCTTCTGTTTCTTACATCGCGGAATGCCCTTATATTGACCTTCTCGTCTGAGTTCTTTATTTCCTCATATCTCCAAGGCTCAATTTGAAATGAAGATGAAATAGTGGCATCTATGAGAATTTTACTCTGACTAACACCAATGCCATTTTTTTTTCGGTGCTTATTATTTGTTTAACTATGCTGAATTGAATTCTCCTCTCAGGGCCAGTGCAGGGGGAGGGGCTGGGGGGAGCAGCCCCCCCCCCCACACACACACACTTTTTGAAAAGAAAATTGAATTAAGAAATACACATTTTCTAATAAAAGGAATCTTTGATGGAATAAGAATATTAGGCTGGCGGACCTCGCCAAAGCATCCAAATTTATGATTGGTCCGTTTCGATCCTATATCACTATGGTAAGCTTCAAAACGACTATCCTTACAAAACTACACTTAGTCGTAGACTTCTACGTTTACAACAGCTAGGTGATGTAGTATACGCACAGACAATGGAGTCTTTTTTTTATCAAGGTTCTTGAATCTCCACTGAGCTACGATTTCTTAAAACAAATTGAACTCGATGACATTGTAGACAACATGAAGAAGTTTCAGGAATTACCTCAGCAGAGCATGAAAAATGAATTTGTTCCGATTTGCAAGCTTCTGCTGGTAAATCCCGCAACCATCGCAGGAGAAAAAGGTCCTTTTCGGCAGCTCGAAGGTTAAAAACATGGTCTCGTTCAACAGTGATTAAAAAAAGGTCCTAAATAGCCGCAAGGAGAGAACGGACAAACTTTGAAAGTGAATGAAACACGCGAAAATTATGCTGCTGCTGTGTTTTTGTTGCTAACCTTTTTTTCGTTCAGTTAAACTATTAAAATCAGTAAATGGCTGATGAGTTGTAACTGTATTAAAAAATATTGAGTCGCCACCAGGAAAACCATTTTAAAAGTCCACAACCCCACAATCCCTACCCCCACCTTCCTCCTACCCCCGCCCCCGCCCCCCATAACGCTTCAAAAGAGGTGGATCGGCCCCCGCGCTTTGAAAACTGCTCCGCGGGCCCTGCTTGCAACTCCTCC